TGAGGAATTGTTCAAACACGTCAAAGCTCTTGACAAATACATTAATGTAAAAAAGATGACCGCAATGAAACAGACAATGATACGTCTGCGGCAAAAGTCACGTTTTCACCAATACCCAGAAAACTATCCGATGTACTATACTATAGCGATTCTGTGAACGAAATAATTATGCGAACATAATGAATATCAAAGCTCTTGTAAGATTTCAATCGTGTAGTTTTAAGTGGAGGATGAGTCATTCAGCTGCTCGGCCGAATGGTTATATCGTCGTTGTAAATGATTTGGTTCTCGTACGAAGACATTTTTGTAACAAAATAATTACGCACGGTACAAAGAATTGAATTGGTTTTTACGGTTCTTAATATACGTTTCTTTGCAACAAATATTATGGTTTTGTTTTAATTAAGCGTGACAGGAATAAGAAACAGTTACTGAGTCAAAAATACTACAACACTTGATATATTATTAATTCTTTTAATATACTCCATTACAATCTGGTTTTTTTCTTTCAAAGCATACAGCACAGAGCATATCATGCCCAAACGGACTGACTTCCTTGGTGCTTCAGTCATCCCGTTTCTAACGATGAGAACTCACAGAAAGTGAGCCCCACATTCCAGAAAATGTAGGCGGAGACACAAGTTGGACTTGTTTGAAGTAACGAAATCGAATATAATGTGAGAAATGATTTTATTTTCCTAAAATAGGAAATTTGGAAAATGGTGGAACGATCAATCGCCTGAAGAAACATTAGAGAGTGATTTTTTCGTTCCCAAGAGCATTTGTTTAATAAAGACGAACATATGAAACTTGCGACGACAATATAAGAATGTTTGCTCCGGCACTCAAGGAATTCAGCTGTGGTTTCCAGCCCGTCTTGAAGCACCGTCGCCACACTTTCCCCTGACCCCAGATCTGACTCTATCCTCCCTCTCCCGTCTGAACACTCTTCTCTCCCCTGTAATGTAACAATAGATTTGCGGATGTTAGTATGCCCAAAACAAATATTACCATGTACGCGTAAGCGGAGGTTCGCAATAACCCAAAATTGGTACAAGGATTTTTGATATAGCTTCTACCACGAAGGCATTTTCACTATAACTTGTATCCTCCAAGTTTGGTGTGCATGTCCAGATATGCCGCCTAAAACATTCAATAGATACTTGCAATTAATACTATTACTATTGCTATAACAATCAGATGTAACTGATAGCTTGATACTTACAATCCATTTAACACACCAATACCGTCCCCGCATCTGCCCCGAGCTGAGGATCTTGAATGCCACTTGGGAAGCTGATTCCATTCATATCTCTTAGACGAAATTCAGTTTCCATCAAATGCTCATGTCTTTACAAATTTGGTGAGCAATTTTTGGGCCTTATATGGCAGATCGACTTCTCCCAATATCAAAGAGTCGTTTTCTTTTAACAACTCTACAACGTCCGCAGGCAGCTGACTCATATGGAATCGCAAAAATTCGTCAAGTCTATCACCCCAGAAGCTAGCGGATCGGTTGGGTAAATTGTGTACTTGTTCTTGTCCATCTTTCTTCTAAAATCGTCCTCACCGCTATATAAGCCGTCTTATCTCTCTCACTGCAAGATGACGACTTTTCCATTTCAATCTAGAATAGTATTCCGCAGCAGCTTTTGATTCCTTCAAATATGCTGCGGCCGCACAATAAAATAAAGTGTTTGACCACCCTTTCTCGTACAGGTCTAAATAATAGTTCAACTCCTCCTCGCTGTAGATATAAGTTTCGACGGGAGGAACGGCAGAAGCGTTGTCAGGAGGAGCGTTGTCAGGAGGAAATGGAGGAGGAGATGGTGGAAATAGAGAAGGTGGATATAGAGAAGGTGGATATAGAGAAGGTGGATATAGAGAAGGTGGATATAGAGAAGGTGGAGATAGAAAAGGTGGAGATAGAAAAGGTGGAGATAGAGATGAAGGTGGAAGAATGACAGGAGATGAAGGAAGAATAACAGGAGAAGAATGACAGAAGATGGCGGAAGAATGACGGCAGATAGAGGAAGAATGACGGAGAGGAATGACAAGAGGAATGACAGGAGGGGAGGGTCTAACGCATGGACTAAATCAGTTTTCTGTCATTCACTAGAAGACATTAAGAGTTCTGGAATCGCTGTTACTATGTTTTGTTAGTCAGTATACAACATATGTGTAATGACAGGAGGAGGAATGACAGGAGGAGGTCGGCTTAAAAAATTTTTTTTTCAACAAGGCCAATGGCTGGTTTTATGTGAAAATTTATTATACGTAATAGTTTCTTCAATTTAATTGGTCCGAACCGAAATTTGATATGAAAAAAAACGAATCCGAAAATCTAGATTAAAAATTATTGAATATAAAACAATACAATGTTTCAAACATTTTTAACAATATTAATATCAAATTACTAATACTTATACTAATGTTAACAAATTAAAAAATTGTGAAAATGTTCAATTTTAACAGATTATGAGGCAATTTTGTAAGAATAACCCAATTTAGTTGCATATTAATATTAATAATTAGCCGAGATTTTATAATAAACATTTATATAATTATATTACAGATAATCCATTGCATTATGTATATATAAATTCAGCAAAGATAAACATACCATCAATGAACTAACATAGCTGACATTCTGCCATTTATCAACCAATCAAGAAATCTACTGAATTTTGCAGAATATAAAAAAATAATATTATTGAGTTGTCTGGTGATATGCAGTTATAATAATCTAAACATTTTTCATAATAATAATAAAAATAGACAATCAGTGACATTGATGCATTACGTTTTAAATTTTGCGTTATCTTATATCTGGAAAAAATATGTTAGTAATATATGAAAGGTGTCTGTTTGAGACAATGCAAGCTGTGGTCTCACTAATTGTGATGATTTTTCTTATTTCCCATTCTTCTGTATTTCTGCCACTATAAATGTTTCCGAATTCAACCTAGTGAAAAAGTTGACATACTTTTTCAAGGCAAAAGTCATTTTTTTGATTGTTAAACATTGATTCTCACATACGTATTTTTTTTATTTCATTCAGTGTCACATCGATAATTGCTACTCCAATAAAAATAAAAACCCGAATCTCGAAATGGCTTTCCTTGACGCTTGTATATGTATGAAATTTTGCTCATATCAGGCTTGAGCTTGCGTATGTGAGTACAATAAATGTACAAGTATAATTGGCTTTGAAAAAATGCAATCGATAATAATAACGTTATGACTTTGTCTAGCGATTTAAAGTTTTAAGTTTGCTCAATAACGGTAACAGTATGTCATTCCGAAATGCATGACAAGTATCACACAATAAAGCAGCTTATCATGTGATGCAAACGAGATGCTAATGTTTAAGTTATCACGATTGTCAATTTATTGGTCTAAAATCCAATACACTCCATATAGACTTATCTCTCTACATAAAAAGTGAAACCAATTTACATAATGGAGCTCGTACCATTTATGTTCGTATTAAGGCATTGTTTAAAAAAAAAAGCAGGTGAAAATTGCAAATTAATAGTAATATACACAAACTCTCCAAAAATATCGAGATGGCAAATCGCTGACAATATTTACCAGCAGAGTGAGAAATAGAAGAAAGAATAACCGTGCAACGCTACATTTTACTAGCAAAAACATGAGAAGTTTCCTTTTTCAAAACCTATCCATTTTTGTGTAAATTATGCAAATTACAGTAGTTTTGTATGGTTTGATTACGACGTTGACAATCCCTTTATTTGCGTATCTGCTGAGATAAATCCTTGTTCCATCAATTGAAGTATAATTTTCGGAAACCCGCCTTGAATATTGTACAACGAAATGCTGAGTTTGTATTTATTTGGAGGTAATCAAATATTGGTATTGTTATCTAATACATAATTGTTATTAGTTAATAGCAAGCAATTCTTACTTCAACTGGTAAAAATAGTTTCTCGGTCGCTTCACATAGTTTGGAAAATGATGATAATAACTTTGTATATTATCGTTAAAGCAGTTGCTCGATGACACGTCAGTATACGTGCATACACATAATCGCTACTTCAACTTAAGCACTTTTTATTGTTTTGAAAAGCGCAATCAATTGACTTCAGCACTATACAATCTATTCTAGTTTGTATAGTGGCACACGGGCGGGATACATTTTGAAAAGAGAGACTGTTTTAGTAAAATGTATTATTCGCTCGTTTATTGGAAAAAGCTGTACAGTTTATAATAAAAACTCACTGTAACTAGTCACAACGATGGAAAAATACTGTTACGACAACATGATTAACATTTAATTAATTGATATAATAATAATATTATTATTATGCGTATTTACTAATTAAATCATGTGAAATGTACGATCAATAATACATTACCATATTAATATCCAACGTCTTCACACAGCGAGTTGTTGCTGATTAAACCGCATCAAACCAATTACAATCGTCTTTCATTATATGGTCGGTTATTACGTTTAATGTGCATTTATTCGTTTATGTGACCTAATAGAAAAGTGGCAAATAGGAGACGACTCAAACGAAGAGAAAGAAATGTCAATCTATACAGATCTCTTGTAGAACAAAAGAAATTTACGACGGAAAGCAACGGGATATGCGTGATAATAATTCAACGTTTACATGAGTCGCTGGAAAAAGTCAAACGATGTATTAACCAATAAACAGTATTCAACAGTTGTACTCAAACGATTTAAAAATTTTGATAAAATGCCGGAATTATTTATTTTCCGAGGTAAGCAATAATTGTTAATATAAATTAAATTGATATTTAAGCTAACTCTATGTATTATTTATTTAATAGTTCAGAAATCATGCCAAGTGTGCAACCTATAATTCTTTCTTCCTTTCCCTTTATGGAGTGACACAAGACCCAAAGACAAAAGAGTACATGATTGTTATGCAATATGCTAACAATGGCAGCCTTTTGTCT